TCCATGTACCTCCAGATAGACGTGCGATCCATGCACGGCCGGCCGGCGACCCTCGACGGTGCTGCGCGGCTTGACCATCATATCTCCTTTACCTGTCCAAAGTCAGGAAGCAAAGCATGCCTCTGGCGAACCTCGTCGCAATTCAAAACGAGTCATGCAATTCGTCATTGATGACTGCTCCTGCCCAGATCCGTGACTCGTGACGCTTGAATTTGGAAGCAGACCGGTTCGAAAGTGTCGATGAGTCGTGCAAGCACTCTCAGACTGGAGACTCTTATGAACCCAAAGTCGCAATCTCGACACTCGTATCAGTCTGCGCTTTGTTCGTGCTTGAAACATATCCAGGGACGTGCCTGATCAAGAAATCACCAATCTGAATGCAAAGATGGAACGCCGGGCGCGCTCAACTTGCTAGCTGTGTTGGACAGTCTGGGTGAGCCGTGCCCACGAGTGACGAGTATCTGCACGGCGCATCCTCGTGTATGCGGGCGATACGTACTCTCGGCAAGGAGGCATCATCACCACGAAACATGACTTTGATTGGGGACATTCACGTACTCGTGACTGTTGACGCTCCTTCGGAATGGAATGCTGTATCCGTCGGCGAGCCGGCCAAGTCGCTACAAGCGTACTGTGACGATCTAATTGGAACAAATTTCTCAACTCGCCATTCCACGCACGCGGCCTCCCATCGTCTAGCTAGTCGAGGACTGTACACTTTGCGCTGACACTTGAAGAGGATTTTGCGATTCATATTCGCCTTGCTGCTTGCATCCGACTGATTTGCTCACGAGGCATCGGCTGAGAGCTCAATCAACAGACGCCTGCTGGGTAGCGAGAGCGAGAGCGAGAGTTCCATCCAAGCCAGCAGCGCTTCTTGGCCATCACTCACGATCGCACTCACGATAGAAAGGGTAAGAATGCTTCCGCGCTCAAGCGGCAAGACAAATGAGAACACGTGTGACCCGTGAGAACGTGCCTTTTCTTTTATATATATAGACTGTCTTTTTGAAATGCTGACACTTGAGACATCTTTGGCAGACACCCACCCACAGAAAAGTCTGGAACAAGAGACCTCGCCCCTTCATCAGCTCCAGGATGACTGCGCAAATGCGCACATGCGAAGATGGTGAGGTGTTCATCATTGCTGGCCGGCACGAGCAAGAGTGATGCGACGTGTGCTCTCTGCCTACCTGACCGTGTGTCACAACTGGCTCGCAAATTCGAGGCAGCATCGTGACGCAGCAATGGTGAATGTGAGTAAAGGCAAGCGTCGTCTCGACTGCTGGGTACAGCGCCTAGAGACGCGAAGCCTTCTTGAAGCGATGCCTGCTCCTCAAACACGCGTATGCGTAATTGCGAGCGTAGTCCCGACCATCGTCGACCGCTTGCTTCTGTTTCTTATCGATAGCGAGCCCGTTTGGCCCGGCAAAGAAGCTAGCTCTACCCAACATCGTGACTGTGCTGTGCCCACGCATTCTCTCTTGCCCGGCATCCGTCGACGCCCAGCTCTGAGCTGTATATTTTCTTGACACTCGCCCCCACTTGCTTCTCAATTCGAGAATGTCAAGCATGGTGCGTGCTACAAAGACGAAGGAACGCTGACGCATAGCTTGACGCGACCTTCCTTGCAGCGTACTCCACCCGAGTCCAAAAAGAGTCCCTTCCTAGACTACTTGCTTCGAGAAGACTTGCAGACCGACGGTTCTCCCTGTAGCGAAGCGAAGCACAAGATGCATCGACTAGCGCGTGATCTAGAGCTCAACGAGTCGATGCGCGATGAGAACGATTCGGACTATAAAGAAGAGGGGTCAGGCAAGAGAAAGAAGAGCAAGAAGACGCATAGCGAAGCAGGCTCAAGAGCCAGCAAACGTAGCGGTGAACATTTGGGCAAAGAAAAGGTCAAAAGGGAGAAGAGTGGGCATGCGGCTGCTGCTGCTGCTGCTGCTGGGTACGCCAGAATGTCCGATTCGCAAAGCGAGGATGAAGCACCTGCACTTCGCATCAAGAAGGAGCCCATTTCGCCCGAGAAAGAGCGCATACAGGTCGTCGTGCCATCCAGTAGCGCCAAAGGTAGTCCTTCGAAAGGCAACAAGAATCCTTGGACCGTCGGTAAGTCATCTCATCTTGCTCGACGAGCTGCACTTGTTCCTTGCCCATCAACCTACCGCTGCTGCACTTACCTCCTCCCCCTGAAACACTCTTCTTCGGCGGCGACTCAAAGAGGAAGAGTTGACGTTGCAGAGGACAGTGTACGATCTTGCCTTGAAGAACATACCCGAAGTTCACAAAGCGTCAGGATTGTCGAGCAAGCCCAATTGGAGTGTGAGTTAGTCCGGGCAGTCTATTCTCTGCGTGCCGAAAACCCAATCAGCGCAGTCAGGATTTTGACTCGCCCTGCAATTTTACTCGCCCTGCACTTCTACTCGCTCTGCAATTTTACTCGCCCTGCACTTCTACTCGCCCTGCACTTTCACTCGCCCTGCACTTCTACTCGCCCTTCACTTTTACTCGCCCTGCCCACTTGTACGATATGCACCGGCTTCTCTTTGCTGCGCAGGTGAACAAGAAGCTCAATGCGCTGAGAGCTAGACTGGGTTGAGGCGATGAGGAAGGGGAATGGAGCTCCAAGCCATCCACGGACCGTCTCGTCTCGCCTTCAGAGGTTCTTCCAACGACCTCGACACAGTAGCGCAGCAAGAACGAGTCACCGAATCCTGTCCATTCGAGCACTCATCAACGACTTGAACTTTTCCGTCCGCCTTACAAGAGTAGCCGCATGGAATGCCGATGCTGTGCAATGAGACTTGCATCACAATTTCCACACTTGCTCCTTCTTCCATCCGAGATGGCTCAAATGACCTCCCAACTCTCCTTGAGACTTGCCATCCCTCGCTTTAGGTCCCGCTATAGCTTCCACCATGCTGGACGACCAAATGGCAAGAGGGTAGCATAGCGCAGCGCAGCGCGGTCGCTCGTCAACGACGTTTTGGCGATGATGCCAGGCCAATTCCGACTCTTGACTCACCCGTCCGGTCCCGCTATCAATACCTTGCAATGCGTGTGCGCATTCCTTTGCTTTGCAATCCTCTCGAGATCTTTCATCCCCACCCTGTTGCCGTTCAACTTCATCCCACGCACCTCCTTCGTCCGACGTCCAAATACTCTCTCGTACAAACTCTTCGATTGCGAGTGCTGATCCACGAACAATTCGATGTGCAGCCTCTCTGCGCCTGCTCGTCGACGCAGATCTTCTAGTTCGGGTAGGAGGCAGAGGGCAGAGATTTGATGCGCGCTGTAGAGCAGCGTGATTTTCGGCTTCGTCGTGGTCGCTGCTGAGTTTGAGCTTGCATTCGAGCCGAAAAGGGAGCTGACGAGTTGGTGCATTGGCGTGATGCCTGTCCCTCCTGCGATCTGGTCGCAGAGGAGCAGGGGGGCCGAGGTAAAGACTGATGAGCCAACGCTTGACTCAAAAAGTCCCGCTGCACACGTCGGCCAGCGATAGCGCAACAAAAGCTACACGCACGAGGATCAGTTCCATCTCCGTTCCATCTCCTTGCCAGCTCTTGTCGAATCCTCTGAGCAAGACCTGATCTCCGCTCGCCAAAGAATGAGCAAACCTTCCCACTTCTCCATCGTTGTACTTTTTTATCATCAATTGTACCTTCCTCAGCGCACTCTTGGGTGCCTTTATTGATGCTGATGCTGATGCTGACGCGTCATCCGACACGACAAAGGGCGAATAGAGAGGAGTGTAGGGTCGTTGGATGGATAGTGCGGGAGAGGCCAAATGGAGAGTATGGATGCACATCGCCTCTTTACCACACTGACCGCCTTGCTGATCCTCATTCAGGCTCACTCCAACATCCACATTCAAGATGACATGCTCTCCATGCCCCCCCTCTTCCAGCAGCGTGCTACTGGCGATCTTCTTTTGCGTCACTCGGAACTCTTGGAACGTGTCGGGGGCGATGATGTTGCGTCTTTGTGCGCGTGAAGGCTGGGAAGTCTTGCTGTACACCGCAGCGGAAGCTATGCCTGCACCAACCAGCAAGTACAGGATCTTGCCCCTTGCAGAGCCGTTGGTTGCTGTCGATCTTCGTCCCGCAGTCGAGGTGGAAGCATGTCGAGCAAACAGGGGCAACGAGGTGGGTGGCCTCGAAGGGCGAGCTGCGCGCCTGGACAAGACTGTGGGCGCTGAGGGCGGTGCGGTTGAGCGATCTCGGATGCACCGTGCGCAGCCTTGTCCACGTGGTAAATCCTGACATGAACGTAGCAGGCGAGGTCGAAGCATCTTTGCGCAAGGCGCTGTGTGTGTGTGTGTGTGTGTGTGTGTGTGTGTGTGTGT